TCATGCTATCCACTCCTCCATGACCACAGCTCAGGAAATGGCCTGGTCCAGGATTATGGAAACCTTGGGATCATCTCTTCGCAGGTCTTGGATCACATCAGTGGCACTGCATAATTTCTGTGGGCCTCGGGATGAGCATCCCCAGGTGGAAACAGAGAATAAAGAGAATAATTAGCCTAGCTGCTGTTTATAGTGTATATAAAGGTGATGCAAACGCCTGCTTGGATCACATTCATGCGCCATACCGTTAAGTAATGCATTGAGTGTATGCTTTGCTAAAAATGAGTCTTTAGTTTTGAACTGCGAGAGTGTGTCTGAGCCCCAGAAATGATCAGGGAGGCATTTCCAGATTTTAGGAGCCATAAAGAGAAAGCTCGACCTCCTTTACTTGACTTTGTTATATGTACTAGAAGCCCTGAGCTTTGAGATCTTAAAGAGCAGGTTGGATTGTAGCGAGACAGAAGGTTGGTTAGATAAACAGGGGCTAGATTATTTAAAGCTTTAAATGAATTTGTGAATGACTGTAAATGAAACGGATGTTAACATATGCGTGAGATCTGCCTAAAACAGTAAAAACAGATTGAGGGCCAAAAACAGAGGGACAGCAGCTCTGACAGGCAGATCAAACTGCACTCAAAGGTTATGTGCTCTGTACGCAGAACAAATAAAGCTTTATTTGCATAGTGAGGCCACTAACCACACACACACACACATTCACACACAAACACAGGAGCGCATATTGTTTTTATCAGTGCTGAATCCTCAGGCAAGCTTCACAATGGAGCTCCAAAAAGCAAAACAGAAAGAAAACACTGTCCAGAACAAGCACTTTAAAAGGTAGTGAAGCCACAAGGCTGTTTGTCATGTGCCGTCATTAATTTTGCTGATGAAGAACATACACCAGCAGTCAATGCTTCAGACACACCTACTCATTGTTTATTATTATTATGTTACACGTTTACAATAATACAATAAAAACAACATGAATAGAATATTTGTGAAAAATCATGCCTTAAATATTATCTATCTATCTATCTATCTATCTATCTATCTATCTATCTATCTATCTATCTATCTATCTATCTATCTATCTATCTGTCTGTCTGTCTGTCTGTCTGTCTGTCTGTCTGTCTGTCTGTCTGTCTGTCTGTCTGTCTGTCTGTCTGTCTGTCTGTCTGTCTGTCTGTCTGTCTGTCTGTCTGTCTGTCTGTCTGTCTGTCTGTCTGTCTGTCTGTAATACACGATTATGATGATTATGTGTATGTTCATGTGTTCAGTATGTGTTCGTGCATTGTCTTTTAATATTTTATTGCTTTTTATTGTTTCAGGGTATGCTGAAGTATTACCTTTGAGTCAAAAAAGTGTTTTGAGTTTAACTTTTGACTGAAAATGTCTCCCTCAGGGCACAATAAAGAAGCTTAGAACACTTTCTAATCTATTTTCTTTTTTACCTCTTTAAAAAACTTCCAATAAGCTGACACTATAATTTCCAGAACACGTACACTTAATACACAAATACACTTCATTAAACATGTACACATAGACTATATATGCAATAAAAATGCAGGTAAACTATGTATTTTTATGATAACTTATATTTATTGTAACTTTAACTTAATCTGATTGTAATGCAATAAAGTACACCTTTTGTAAAGCTGCTTTAAAACAAAAATTATTGTGAAAAGCACTATACACATAAACTTGAACTGAATTGAAACCTTGAATAACTTGAATAATTATCTATTGTCTTTAAAAAAACTTCTAATACCAAAAAACATTTAATATCCATATATTATCCATCCGCCTGTCTGTCTGTCTGTCTGTACATCTGTCTGCATATCTGTCTATCTATCCCATAATATCAGTCAAGCGTGTCCAGACCGGCTGATAGTGTGTGTTTTCACAACAGAGAATAATAACAGCGTCAGCAGGGTGAACACGTAAAATATTTTTGTGTTCTTGTTTTTTTTATGCATAATGTTCCTTCATGCATTGGCACAAACACACATTTAGATGCGCCCTCTTTTAGACCCAGTGCCCTCTTTTCAACTGGTTTGCATTTTTCCTACAAACCCTCACCTGAACCAGAAACCTGATGACATAATAGATTTGAAGCAAAACATGTTTTGACCAAATTAGAGTTACGAGCACTTTAGCTCATATGCTGGCACACAGTAGTTGGCATTTGAAGTGGATGAAAATGTTTTCTAAATTGTCATAAGACAAGTATGGGTGCTTTTCCAATAGTTTAGGACAACTTTGATGAAATAGTTCAAATCACATTAAAAGTTGACTATACTGTATGTATAACATCATATTTTTGTGTATTCATAAGATATGCATAATATACAAATACACCAAGTCTGCGGGTAAAATCAAAACAGACCCATTTAACGTATATATACACACATTAAAATGTTGGATTCAGTCACATTTAGAGTAAAATATTTGATGATAAAGATTTTACCCAGCAGTTGGGCTCGGCCATATTATACCCAACTTCTTTTTCCTTTGGCTTAGTCTCATTTATCAGGGGTCTCCACAGAAAAATAAACCACCAACTTATCCAGCATATTCCTTATCCACCCATACACACTCATACACTCATACAGTACTGCCAATTTAGCTTATTCAGTTCACCTATACTGCATATCTTTGGACTGTGGGTGAAATTGGAGCAACTGAAGGAAACCCACGTAAAAAACAGGGAGAATATGCAAACTCCACAAAGAAACACCAACTGGCCCAGCCGGGGCTCGAACCAGTGACCTTCTTGCTGTGAGGCGACAGTGCTAACCACTGAGCCACCAGTTTTGCAGGTAATACGTGGTGTTGTACTTACCGTTTAGAAAATGTCATTTCTGATTATGAGAAATGTACCGAAACCACTGAGAAAAAGTTTATATACAGTTGAAGTCACAATTATTAGCCCCCTTCGATTTTTTTTCTTCTTTTTTTTATATTTTCCAAATAATGTTTAACAGAGCAAAGACATTTTCACAGTATGTCTGCTAATATTTTTTCCTCTCGAGAAAGTCTTATTTGTTTTATTTTGGCTAGAATAAAAGCAGTTTTGATTTTTTTATGAACCATTTTTGGGACAAAATTATTAGCCCCTTTAAGCTATATTTTTTCTTGATAATCTACAGAACAAATCACTGTTATACAATAACTTGCCTAATTCCTATTACCTCCCTAGTTAACTTAATTAACCTAGATAAGCCTTTAAATGTCACTTTAAGCTGTATAGAAGTGTCTTGAAAAATATCTAGTCAAATATTATTTACAGTCATCATGGTAAAGATAAAATAAATCAGTTATTAGAAATGAGTTATTAAAATTATTATGTTTAGAAATGTGTTGAAAAAATCTGCTTTCTGTTAAAAAAAAAATTGGGGAAAAATAAAGAAGCGGTCTAATAATTCAGGGGGGCTAATAATTCTGACTTCAACTGTATATATATATATATATATATATATATATATATATATATATATATATATATATATATATATATAGATATATATTAAATGATGGATTTAATCACATTTTGAGCACATATTTGATTATAAGGATTTAACCCAGCAGATGGGTTTTGCCATATTTTACCCACATTTTTTCATCATTTTAAATCAGGATATTAAATGCTGGTAAAGGGTCCAAAGACATGCAGTATACAGTAAGTGAATTTGATCAACTAAATTCGTCGGAGTGTTAATCGGAGAGTATGTGGCTATAAGTACTTCTGCAGTAAAATAATTGTCCTGATAAGGCAGGAACTAAGCCAAAGAAGAGTGAGTAAAAAACACCAGACAATTAGGTAAAATATTATCTTTAATTCATGTTTTAATTTTGACAAAAAAATTACTTGAAACAAAAAAAAAACTTAATTTTTCTTCGTTGGCCAGAATGACAATTATTTTCATTTGTTGTGACTAAAATTCAGATATATTCTATTTTATCGATTTCTTAACTCTTCTGAAGCTATTAAATTTGTTGTGTATGATTAATATGAACATCTAAAAACATGACACCTTTTCATTTACTCAAAACAACTGAAATGACACCAGTACTGAACAAAATATAGATTATTTTCCAAATTGTGTGTATTTGTAGATATTTACAACTTTACCAACTTAGTATTCTTTTTTAACTTGTTTATTAACACAATTTGCAACCTCAGTTCAGTCTCAAACTCAGTCCTATCAGGAGTCAATATTAATTTCAACTGACGAAGTGTTTAAAAGCAGAGACTTTCCATTTAATGTTATTATTTTAATACTAAGCTAATATTATATTAAACATCCCATGAAAATTAAATGCTATAGTAATTCATAGTAAATACTTCAATGTTTTAGAACCATACTATAATAAAGTACTTGAATTAATCTGTTGTGGTAATTCTATAGTTGAAAATGTAATGTTTTATAAACTAATTAACTAATGCTACGTTTTCTACAACTAGGGTATTTTTTACTAAACTAAACCATAGTTTGCTGTAGTAAAAACTAAGGTAAACTACAGTATTTATTACAGCTTATCATGCAGTTCACAATAGTAAAAGGATAGATCACAAAAAAATAATTTACCATTTACTTACCTTTAAAAGATTCCAGACCTTTATGGGTATATTTCTTTTGTTAAACACAAATTCAAATATATTTTGAACATAGCGTAAAAATCTGTAACCATTCAAAATCCATATAGGAAAATTAAATACTATGGAAGTCTGTGGTCACAGATTTCCAGCTTTCTTCAAATTAACTTTCTGCAGAAGAAAGAAAGTTTGGAACAAGTTAATGGTGAGTAAATGATGATAGAATGTTTAGTTTTTGGTGAACTATCACTTAGCCACTACAGTAGCTATGTTATAACATTCATAACACAGTGTTCTAAATACTATAGGCAATAGTATAATACTCACTATAGTGTATTATGGTGTATTAGTGTATTATAGTGTATAAACTATAATATTTACTATAACTATAACTATTACTGTAATATTTTTAATGAGGAATCATTCCTGGAGCTAAAAAAATCCTTTTACATTTTCTCCTCTTTCATGGTTATTTATCATGTTTACCTCATTTTATTAACCCGGTCACCACAATGTTAAAAAATTCTGGTTTTACTATCAGTCTGTCTACCCACAATGTACACACTCTCACACTCACACACCACACACACACAGTGCACCTCTAGGGGGACTCCAGACTCCAGCGGATCGTAGCAGCGCGTGAAGAAGCATGAAGACGAACGTGACTGGAAGAGCGGCGTGCGCGAGAATAATGTAACCATCGCCCAGCCACAGTCACTCTCCCGCGGACCAGCGACACACTTCCACTCCGCGCTTTCGCTCCTGGAGCTGCTGATTCATGGGTGCTTTCGGTGAGTCCCGCTGCTTGCCCTACGGATGTGTTTTCTCGTACTCTCGAAACGTGTGCTTGTTTTGCAGTGTGTTGTAGTAGGGCTTGTTAGCAGGAGCAGCGGCGGTGTAGGAAGACCTCAGGGCAACATGTTACAGTTGCAGATGAAAGCGAATTTACAGTAGAGTAAGTGCAGGAGTACAGGATTTGCAGCTGCGTTTGCCTCGTATAAAATCAAGGTATGTTGAGCTTGCGTTCGGCTGGAGTGACACTACTACTGCAAAGGGGCTCCCAATGCAGTGCACTACTAGTGTGGAGAGACATTCTTCACATTTTAGAGTTTGTTATTGGGGATTTACTGTTTAGCAAGTGTGGTGAGAATTCAGTGTAGTGAGTCTATGTAATGCCATGCTTTATTATTATTATTATTATTTTTTATTTAATTATCAGATTTTTGTGACAGACAAAAGAGAAACAACAGTATCTATCTATCTATCTATCTATCTATCTATCTATCTATCTATCTATCTATCTATCTATCTATCTATCTATCTATCTATCTATCTATCTATATAACAGTACAAAATTGAATAAAATAAAAATAAACCACACTATAACTCATATATATATATATATATATATATATATATATATATAAATGACTTTTTATTTGGTGGGCATATGAAGCTAACAGTTTTTCTTTGCTGCGATAATTGCCAAAGCTTCTATTAGGATGTATTGTATTATTGATTTATTTGTTTTCTTTTCGGCTTAGTCCCTTTATTAATTCAAGGTCGCCACAGCGATATGAACCGCCAACTTATCCAGCACGTTTTTATGCAGCGGTTGCCCTTCTAGCCACAACCCATCTCTGGGAAAGTCTTGTATTATACCAATATAAATGTTAGTTTTAAAATAAGGGCTACTTTGACAGGAATATTAAAAAGATCTGTTCATTTATTTATTTTAAAGATAAAATTAGAGTAAGTAAATGTTTCAAACTATGGTAATAAAAATGCAAAATGACATAAATTGCATGTAGCTGTAAGAAATAGCATCAATGTATACATTATTGTTATTGTTAGTTAAAATAATACATCTGGAGTTTATTTATTAGGTCCATGAAGATAAAACATGTACAGATTTTGAAATCATTGAGTTTAGCTACACAATTATAGCATAAGATGAATAAATGCCTTACAAGTAGTTTTCATCATAACTAACTTATGCTAACAAACTAAGCCTGGTTGTAAAGTGTTAATAGCCCAGAGACAAATGAAGACCTTATAAATCAATATCTCAGGCATGTTTAAGGCAGATTGACTTGTGAAAATGCTTGTGCGTGAAGCTTATTTTAAAAAAAATTGTGAATGCAATCATAACATAAGGCCTGTTAATTAGCACAAGGTATGGTCATGTCTGTTATTTGGTCATATTTCTATGTATAATTATTAGATACGTACATATTTCTGTGGGTTTTTTTTTCTTTATGTAAATATGCAGTGTGAAGTGTTAAAGGATCTTTCTCCTGTCATAGGCATTACTGTTTATAGCTTCACTGGAGCAAAGTTAAAGGTTTAAAGTTTTTATCATCCCTTACATTTTTTCTCTCATGTCAGTGCCGAATGAATGGTCGAATCTTCTTGCCAAGTTAAATTAGTGCTTGCAATAGAATGTGAAGCCACAGTGTCTCTAGAGTGGGATCCATGAAGGGAAAACCAGCCCAAGTTTCCCACAGACCACCGTAACTTTATTTAGATAGCTGTGTTTGATTTCAATCGATAATACATGCCTTTCAAGATTATGTGTTGAAGGGGATATACATTTTAACATGTTTTTTTTTTTACTTGTAAATGTTTTATTATTCCAACAGAATTTATGGTAAGGATTGACATATGCTAAAAAAAGAATTTTTTTTTGTAAGTGGTCATTATTTCTTTGAAGTGTTTCTCTATTTTTAGCCACATTTTTGGCACATTTCATTGAAGATGAGCAATTTAATTTCAGTTTCCTTGTCAGATTACAATTTTAAGTAGGACTGCACAATATATCACGATGTGATCCTTTGCAATAGTCACATCGCAAGTATATGCAATGTTGAGTCTGGATTATGATTGATCATGTTTTGTTTTTTTGAGGACTGTGTGAGGGTTTAAAAAGCATCCAGGCACAAAAAAAAGATAGCGTTTGTAACTTTAAAAAATTAGTAACGATTAATTTTATTGAGTTGTTTATAAAACAAAGACTATGCGGTATTATTTTACATTTGATTATTCAATTACTGCATACCTGAATACATTTTGACTACAAAAGACTATTTACTTAACTAGCATATGTTTCTTAACTGAATTTATCTATGCTTGAAGATTTGTTTATTGTACCCTCTACGGAATCTTTCCAAATATATCTAAAATTAGGGATGTCCAGACCCGATTACACGGTTTGTGCTCATATATATGCTCATACTGTATATTTATATATATACAGTATATTTCAGAGAGGCTATTGGTTAAATGCCAGTGTTGTGCAAAGAAACACACCCCGAAATGTGCATATATTAACTTAAATTGATTAAAATAATAAGAATAATAGAGTTATGGCAACTAATGACTGTGACTGAGGCGAGTTCCATGAACCCTTACCTTAGAGAAGATATGTATTTATATTAATAAATAGATGTAGTTTCAATAAAATATTGATTAGATTAATGAAGGTAGATTGTTTAATGTGTGGTTTAGTTAAAAACTACAATTTTATATTTTTCATTTATTTAAAACCAAAAAGCTTAATTTTTTTGAAAAAGGCTTATTACATCAGTCTAAACTACAGTCCAAAATTATATTTTTCATTTATTTGTAAACCTATTTTTAAAATGCTTTTCACTTCTTGTTTTTGCTTGATCTATCAAGTAAAAATCATATTAGTTGATGTTTTAATTATTTATGGCCTTTGTTTTTTTTTAAAATGTAGACTGAGAATGCTAATGAAAGTCTATGAAGGGGATGCATTTCACAGGCAGGGGTGCATTTCTTGGCACAACACCTGTTTCTTTACTCTTCTTTATTCTTTTTTTTATGTGTTATAGAAGTATCGAATTGGGTTTCGGTATCAATAGAAAATTAAATAGCTCGGACTCGAGGGCAACAAAACCTAATCAGGACATCTCTATCTAAAATCATATATTCTTTACAAACATTTATTAAACTCATGTAGTGAAATTGTATATGTATGTATGTATGTATGTATGTATATATATATATATATATATATATATATATATATATATATATCACAGAATAAAAAAATAATGCATTGTGTAATTTTTCAAATATTGTGCAGCCGTACTGTAATTTCAAGTCATTTGATGTACATACTATTCAATGTATATGTATATATTATTAAAGTGTTTTAAATAACTGTGAACATAAAATGTCAAAATGTGTGTAAAACATAAAATAATGTAAAAATGAGGCAACAAGCTTATTCTGACCTTACTAAAAATTTACTTAAAATTAAAATGTCAAAAATATGCGAAACAATAAATAAAAAAAAAATTAAACAACATATGTATTCTGACGTTATTGATATACAGTAGTAGGCATGGGCTGATAACGTTAACCGTGAAAAGGTTTACCGCGGTTTGGGAAAGTCAAGGTTTTGAAACTGCAAACATTTTCTTTTATACCGTTCCTACGGTATATGTACGTTTTGTGTTTTTAATGTGTTTTTTACGACTATTTCATTAGGTTTTTTAGGGCAATGGTATCTACAGCAAAAAAACCCTCCAAATCAAAAGCTACTGGTCAGTCCAAGATTCAAGAATTGTTTTAAAACAAGTCACTTATACACCAACATAGAAGCATGCTATAGAGTTGAACAGTGCAGTGGCTTTACTTTATATCCAAAGAAAGGGAAGCAATGCAAAAATGCCTTTTTAAGTTACTAATGAAGAAAGTGATTTATTGAAATAGTTTAGCCTGACATGTTTAAAATAAAAAAGCCTAAATATTTTAAATGTTTTTAAAATAAAATATATTGTGTTCAATGGAGAAATAGTTGTTGTTTTTTACCAAGACATTTTAAAAGAATTAATCACAATACCGTGAAACTGTAAAACCCAGATATTTTTATCAAAGGTTATTCTACAAACAGAATCTTATACCGGCCCATGCCTATACAGGAGCCAATATTTAAAGTGGATTAAAACAGTCGGAAAACACCCATTCTTCTCTTTGGACAATTTAATAAACTTTTTTGGTCCACTTCAAATGCTGACTACCGTATATAAGAGAATATGAGATCCTACAGAAAAATATTCAACTGAGAAATTTAAAAGAGTGTTTTGAAGGACAGTACCACAGTAAGATTTCAATTGAGAAATACTCTGTATAAAGTGGGGGCTGCACTATGATGGTCTTTAGATAAATATTTAACTAAATGATTCTTGTTCTTAATATTAAAACAAAATATGGTTTCAGTATTTTGCTGCACTGAATGACATGATAGTTGGTATTTTCTGGAATATCTAAAAATAGTGGCACATTTTCTTTATTTCTTTGTTTTTGCTTAGAAAAAATGGTTTGAAGAAATATGTTTAGAATTGGAACAAATATTTAAAGATAATTTAAGAACAAAGTGGTGTATCTACTCAGTGTCTTTTTGGATGCAGATTTCATTTCTAAGCTGAACTGTAGTTGGTTAAGTCTTATTTAATTTCCACTGTTTGTCGTCTATAAAAAAGCCTTGAAGTTACTAATACCCCTGACATGAGGTAAAGTGGTGACTCATCTGAGCAAATTTGGGGAAGCATGGACAATTTAATCTGAATTACAGAGTGTTGACTTATGATGACACATGGGCAGTAAGTCCTTTGTTGTCAGACAGCAAGCTAAAAACTGGCCTGTGTTTATATTTTGGGAAAAACTCCCTGCCTTAAAATGCACTGTTTTTGTGACTGGCTTTGAAAGTCAAATCCTAGGAAATTGGACAGCAGGATTAACCTAAGTCTTCTCAAATGCTTGCATTTGTGCTGTTTTTTTCCCCTTACACATTCACCAGATTTATTGTGAGATTGATTGGACTCTTTCAGCATCTTCTTCTTTTATTTTCAACGCTTTTTATTTGCTTTCACCTCAATTGACATTTCTGAGAAAGCAGAGTATCCGGTTAATTACAGCTTGAAATCAATACTCTTTACTAACCTATTGAGGCATAAACATGCACGAACCCATATTAATGTCAACAGCTAATTCAGCAACAGCTATTAATGAAAGTTATTAGCGGTAATCAGATCCTGGTAATCTCAGAGAGGGCTGTTGTGCTTTTTTTCCCCCATTTACACGCTTTGCTCATCCTGCATCTGCTCTGTTTTTGTTGTACCAACAGACTCAGGTGGCTGAGAGATGCAAAGATCTTGGCAGTATACGAGGATTTTCTGTTGACCCTGTGTTTAAGTGGGTGTCCCGAAACTCAACCAACCCTGTACTCAAAAAGATGCTGGTAATATTATCTGCTAACAATAGAGTAAATGCAGTGCCTTGCTAAAGAGAGCCGTGCCGCCACACAAAGGGGAAGCCACACAGGTAAGTCAACCTTGCTAAACTACTTGGCAACATTCGCTGTGTAAATACACTGCCTGTTAAAAGTTAAACACAATTGACTGAATTTGATTCTTGTGATCTCTGAGTTTGCTTCTTTTGATGTCAAATCTTATGGTTAAATGTTTGAAATTTAAAGGATGGTTCACCCCAAACTGAAAATTCTGTTTACTTACTCTTTACTTGCACAAAACCTGTTTGACTTTCTTTCTTCTATTGAACAAAAAATAAGACATTTTGAAGAAAGCTTGGAACTAGTAACCATTGACTTCTGTAGTATTTGTTTTTTGGTGGAAGTCAGTGGATACAGGTGAAATTTTTGGGTGAAATATTGTTTTTATTTTATATGATAAATTATATTATAAATTTGAATGATTATGTTGGATTTTACAAGCATGGAAATTCCTTCATTGGAATAACCAGCCAAAGTAATACTGTTTTACTCAAAGTACATTTTGTGGACAAAATTATACATTGTACATAGCTGATGTTGTAAAATTGTACTGTATGTGTGGGTTTTTATATTTATATTATAATCTATTATATTTAGAATATATCTATTAAATTATAATATTATATATAGTTTTTACATTAATATGGCTTTTGCTAAAACTTTTGTTACAAATCAACTAGAAATGTGTTACAAACAGGTAATGTTATAAATAAAAATTAAAAATTATTTCTTTCTTAATCATTTACAGAAAATTGTTAATTTGTTATATGATACTGTATGTTAATAGTACCCCTTTATATATACTTGGCCCTCAAATTGTTCCACATTTACTGTATCTTGTTTTCTTTGAGAGGAAGAGGATTTTTCAGAGAATCTATTACTTGGGTCCTCCAAGTTGCTGTTACTACAGAAGTCCACAGAGACCATGTCTGACGCGCTCCAAAAAGGACAAAAATAATATAAAATGCTCTGTATATAATATATAATTCATGTATTCTAAAGCCAAAAGAATAAAACAAAAAGTGAATGTAAATTATTCAACATTTCCTAATAATCCATATCTTCTATTTTGTTTGTTAAAAGAAAAAAAAAGTGATAAAAACTCTGCGATATGAACTGCAATACTCTCATATCAAACTTGTGAATCTAGTGTTCCATAACATTGCTTATATATATATATACACAGAACAGTAAAATCTGCTCCATTTCTGTCCTTCTATTGAAAGTCTATTCACCCAAATCTCTGATGCTTGAGAAACTTCATAGAGAGATCCAATTAAATCAGTTAGGAATCAAAAAGAAATCTCTATGAATTAAGACTTCTAAAGAGTGGTGACCATTTATACATGGTGAACAGATTGATCTGGTTTTATTCACATTTTAACATTAATTAGTGAAGATTAAGCATGCTTGCTTGTCATGTGAGAACCAATAAGATTTATTCTTGAGTCTTAAGCTTTTGCAAGAACCAATGAGGTTCATTATTGCATGACATGCAGCACATTTTAGCTTCTGCAAGAACCAATTTGGCTTGTTCTTGAATGTCAAGTAGATACAAAGCCTCTGTGTAAGTTTGCTGACCAATGTTTTATGCGAGCAAAAACCTAAATTAAATCTGTTCATCATCTATATTTGATGTGTTTTTTTTCTAGTGGACTTGGATTGGTTTTTGATCCACTTCAAATGTTGACTACTGTATAGCATTTGGTTTATATGGATTGATCTCTCCATTAGCATTCAGAAGCTTCAGAGTTTTATGTGGTCAGACTTTCTATAGAGTGCCAGAAATCTCTCAGATTTGAGTAAAAGTCATGAAAGTGAGTAAGTTTACATTTTGGGATAAGCTAACCTTTCAAGCAATTATGCTCTTTTGATAGACATGTTTATATCTTTGTCTTGTCAGAATGTCTTGGGTCAATGGCTTTAAAGCTGCAAGAGTGGACAACCACAAGACAGCATGGGGTGAACGCAACGGTCGAAAATCAAGGCGTAAAAGGGGCTCCTCCTTGTGCAACCCACGCTACATGAGCTGTCTACGGGACCCCGAGTCCATGGAAGCCCCATCACAACAGTACTCCCGTGCAGCAGGGGGCGCCACCAGCAGCAACTTCAGCACACGCTGCGTTTGGCAGGAAGACCATTACGGCAGGAAGGGCGATGTTGGTCTGAGAGCCGTGGATTTGGCCTTTGAAGATGCTGAGACAAGGCAAACAAAAAACGGGGACGACCCTGATGAAGGCGGGGTGGAGAGGAAGGGTCCTGACAGGTGTTTTTTCACTTGCTTATTGCGTCTGGCACACATTTTTCAGTCCAAAAAGTTCAAGTCAGCCAAACTGGAGCGACTGTATCAGCGGTACTTCTTCAGACTCAATCAGAGCTCTCTCACAATGCTGATGGGGGTTTTAGTTGTGGTTTGTGGGGTCATGCTGGCGTTTCACTGTGTCCAGGGTCCCCCAGATGTGGCGTACGCTTCAGTGCTTTCTGTAGCCATGGGCCTGTTTTTGACTTTGATGGTGGTGTGCAACAGAAATGGCTTTCATCAGGACTACATGTGGATTGTGAGCTACTTGGTGATGGGGGTGCTGGTGGTGGTGCAGGTGTTTGGCCTGTTGATGGTGGATCCACCCAGCATGCCTGAAGGGATCTGGTGGACCGTTTTCTTCATCTACATCATTTACACGCTGCTGCCCGTGCGAATGAGGGCCGCTGTGATCACTGGAGCTGTGCTGTCCACCATTCACATCGTTATGGCATGGAGATTCAACCTTGAGGACAGCTTCCTTTACAAACAGGTAATTATCTGGTTCTCAATCATTTACAGAAATGTTAATATGTTATATGATATGTTAATTGTATCCCCTAATATATACTCAGCCCTCAAGTTGTTCCACATTTACTGTTTGTTGGTTTTCTTTGACAAGTAGAGAATTTTTCAGAGAATCAACATTACTGCGCTCCTCCAAGTTGTCCACAGAGATCATGCCTGACAATCTCCAAAAAAGACAAAAAACATATAAAGTTTTTCATATGCAATACATTTCATGTATTCTAAAGTCAAAAGAACAGAATAAAACCTAATGTTAATGTAAATTATTCATTATTTCCTAGTAATATCTTCTGATTTTCTGAAGTGATAAAATCCCTGCGGTACAAACTGCAGTACCCTCATATCAAACATGTGAGTCCAGTGTTCCATAACATTGCTGGTCATACAGCACAAGGCCTGCCCCTTTAGCAAACTGAACCAAACCAGATCAAACTGTGGCTTCAATACCTTAAACCTAACCAAACCGAGGCTTTGGTGTATTGGTACACCCCTTGTTGTGCTGCAGACTGTCAGCTTTAATTTGAGGGTATTTACATCAAAATTAAGTGAATGGTGTAGGAAATACAACAGTTTTCATATGTGCCTCCCACTTGTTAAGCAACCAAATGTAATGGGAGAGAATTCATTTTCTTTTTGGCTTAGTCCCTTTATTAATCTGGGGTTGCCACAGCGGAATGAACCTTCAGCACGTTTTACACAGCGGATGCCCTTCCAGCTGCAACCCATCACTGGGAAAATGGGACAGAATAATAATCATAAATCAAACTTTTACTTTTTAGTACTTGGCTGCAAATTCTTTGAAGTCAATTACAGTCTGAAGTCTGGAACGCATAGACATCACCAGACGCTGGGTTTCATCCCTGGTGATGCTCTGCCAGGCCTCTACTGCAACTGTCTTTCGTTCCTGCTTGTTCTTGGCGCATTTTCCCTTCAGTTTTGTCTTCAAGTGAAATGCATGCTCAGTCGGATTCAGGTTACTGTGCATTCACACCGAAGGCACCAAAGGTCGCTCTGGCCGCCCTGGTGACAATGCTGTCTGCCTTCAGCTCCGCGAGAACAGCGAGAGCTGAATTTTTCAGCGAGAGCTTCAGCGAGAGTGTCAAAATTCGCTACATTGATCTCGTATTTAAAGGGGTCGTTGCAGCATATCATGTCAGTTACATTCCCACATCAAACATGCTTTCTAGCGTGAAATTGTTGTGTTTTTATTATCAAATTCATTTAACTATGGAAGATGTTGCAAGTTGCATGTGATCTGGCTTTGCTCCACCTATCCAAAATGTGTCCATATGTCTGAAATATCCTCAAGCAGCAACACTGTTTTGTATTGTCATATGAGATTCCCGCTTTTTTAAAAAAAAAAAAAAAAACATTAATGAACATCAGAAACTTGCCAGTAACTTTTATTAAATGTAAGTTCCTGTAAGAAAACATTGGAAATAATAAAAAATCCAACGATCGCAATAATCAAACCCTTGAGAACATGTGTGGTGGGAAGCAAAGTTTACTTTTGTTATCCGGACTCCTCTCAAGCGGTGGACTTCCGATTGCTTGCCGCCGAACCGCGTCAGAGCTCATTACCATAAAGTTGATTTAATTTCAACTCTCCTCGATACCCACACCGGCGAAGATGCGATGTGCTGCTCATCGCCGCTTAACGGCGCTGGCTCTCATTGAAAATGAATGACTCCCAGCTACTTTGATGCTCTCGCCGCTATCGGTCTGAATGAACAGATCGACTTGGCCAACTTGGGGTTGACTATTATCGTTTACTGCAATATTTAAAAAGTACAGCAAAATGGTGGTTCATTTCAATACCTTGGTTTATTTGTGCTTTGTCACCAAAGATGATGCTTGAATTTTACAATGTTGTTTTCAACGAAGTGAGTTAATCACACTGACGCTATGAGCTTAATGATGCTTTTGATGTTTGTCCTTATTGAGCTTGACAGTTTGGATCTGCATAGTAATTCATCAAAATATTCTTAGAATTGTTCCGCAGGAAAATAATAAAAGGCATTTGAAATGACATGAGGGTTAGCTAATAATGATTAATTTTGGCTGATTTATTCCTCTAATAAATAGGAAAATTCCCAGAATGGAAGTGATTTGTTTTTGTTACGTGTGTATTGGCACCAAAACGTTTTGTAGAAAAGAATTGCATGTTATTTGCGCCACATGTCGCAACTCAACACAGTGCTGGAGAATAAACGCCAAGCATCTGATCAACCGAAGGCACTATCTCTCACATCTCCCCGTTCTTAGAAGTCCCAGAGTTTAGTGGATAATTGGTTTTTGTTTGAAAGCTTTGATTGTTTCAGTACTTTTTAAGGAATGCCTGGCACGACAGTTTCAGACTTCTCTTCTTCTTCTTGTCCTTTTTCAGGCTTGGCTTTGTCCTTCACTGTTCATAGTATGATTCAGTGGCATGCAATGTTTCCATGCAGCGGCTAAAATGCAATATCGGCCCATGTTCGATGTGATCTAGTAGTGCTGCTGACATTATTAATGCTGGTTCAGTGAACTTGGGCTTTTGTGTGTTAGTTCCTTAGACAGCTGGGTTGTGGGCTCTCTACTTGGCACTCAGCACGCTAGAAATGGATTGGGATAATGGCTGCTGATTGACTCGGGCTGTGCCCCCCGGAGCATGTACTTGTGGATTCTCGTCATAGACATTTGGGATAGGTTCCAGCCCTGTGGGCAATCAATGCAGGACAAAAGTCCGGCGCTTGTGTGGCTGCTTAGTGCCTTATATAAATACTCTCTCGCAGCAAGCCGAGAAGGTGTATGTTGTCCGTGTTTGCTCTGTGGACACTTGTTTCAAAGTGCATTGGGTTGAGGATGGAAAGACTTGTTGTGTATTCTAGTAATCTGCACATCTAGAGTGAACGGTTTGTTTGTAAAAACGAATATATAACGATGTGCTATATATCAATGTTCTACAAAAGTTTGAGAGCAGTCATTTTGTTTATTTGATGCACCATAAGCTGCCATATCATCTGATAAATAAATGTTATTAAGGTTAAAAAGTTTTAATGTTCTAAAACTAGTAAATGATAGATTATTCCCACTGGGTGATGTACTTTAGATGCGTTCTGCTGTCCATGAGGGTTTTAATGGATTTGCACTTTAGAAAAGTTTTGCCATAGGGGGGAGATAATAATTTTTTACTCTGCAAAAAGAGCATATTTGCTATTTGCATAATTGCTATTGAACATAATTGCTATTTGTAAAAGATTTTTGCAAAAAAAAGTAGATGCTTTCTTGTATTTGCTATGTTTTGAATTGAATTGAATTAAATTTTTATTTGGCATATTTTAGACAAACTTTACTAAAATACAAGTGTCCCATACATTTTGAAATAAAAGTGTCGAGCATAAAAACACAATAAAGCCCTGGGCTTGTTTCCATTGTAATCCTTGTGGTTCAAAAACAAAGTATGGCTACAAAATACAGTTAATGCATAAAAACAAACAGTACCTCCACATTTTAAAACAGGAACAAAATTATTCACAAATACATTCATTCATTTTATTTTCTGCTTAGTCCCTCTATTAATCTGGGGTTGCCACAGTGAAATGAACCGCCAACTTATCTAGCATATGTTTTACGCAGAGGATGCTCTTCCAGCTGCAACCCTATATTCACAATACAATAACATATAAATTAAAGCATTATCATCCACCATGCAACCATCTTTTGAAGACTTTTTTGAACCTCCTTAAGATTTTTATTTACTTTATCGCTTTTGGTAATTTGTTTCACATGATTTCACTTGTATAAAAAACCTATTTTCCACCACTTGACTTATACATTTAAATAAACAAATATTAAAATCCCAACCCCTAGTACTATATGAATGCTGTTGCCTTATCATTTTAAAATAGTTCACCAAAATAACTAGGAACCAAATCATTAAATATTTTAATTATCATCACGAGTTTTAAAAAACATACTCTTTTACTAACCATTAATATACCTAATTCTTTAAAAACTCTTTGCTCAAATGTGCTTTAGGATGATTTTTTTATTATTCTACTAATTTATTCTGTGCCTTTTGCAGTTTTTTCTTCATACTCTGTGAGCAGCTACTATACCAAAATAAGCTAGCATAATCAAAATGGAGTTGAATCAAAGCTCCTGCCAATAATTTTAAAGAATGAACATCTAACAGATCAGCTTGCCTTGCTAAGAACCTAATTTCTCACATATCTTCATAAAACTGTTCTTGCCATAACATCTCCTGATCATTTTTTATCTATTAAACATCCCAAATAAAACAAATTCTGCTGTTAAGGTTTTATAATGAAATCAGGTGTCCACTCTATTTGTTTGTGCAATCAATCAAGCTTATCAGCGTAGATATTGGTTATCAGCTTCCAATAAAAGGGTAATCGATATTAGACAAATTGTTCATTTTGTTGAATCCCTAATTGATTCCTAATTAATCATCAGTTAATTGTTTTTCAAATAAACACTGTTCATTTTAACTATCGCTCATCAAAAAAACCTAAACAGCATTTTAGCATAATAGTTTAATTTCCAAGGCAAGGCAAGTTTATTAATATAGCACATTTCATGTTCAAAGTTCAAATAATTTAAAGTGCTTTACACAAACAAGAAAAACGAGACATAAAATACAAGTATAAAACAGGTTTTAAAAGAAATGAAAAAGAAAAGAAAGACTAATGATAGTGCAATTTGTTGGACGTAGCACTGTGCTCATTCAGTAAAGGCACAGCTAAACGGGCGTGTTTTAAGTCTTGATTTGAAATTGGATTCCGAAGCATCTAATGTTACCCTCCCAAGAATAAATGACATTTTTAAATATATTGAAATGGTTAAAATCATGATTTAAAACTGTATGTTGTAACATTGATGTTTTTACTTTACTGTTGATCAAATATATATACCATAAAATATATTATTACACTTTTATTTATATTAAAAAAGCATTTATTATAA